TTACTTTTTCAAAATTTTCAACATCGGTTAATAATTGAGTGGCAGGTAGAGTTGCCCAGTCAGTTTTGTTCTTTTTCAAATCTACTGTTGTATGGTATTAGTTAGATTTTGTGGAGCGTTTGATATTTTCATTCAATCGTTGTTCATCTTTTTCATTCAATTTATCCCCAAAAGAAAAGAAAAAGATAAAATCTATGCGAAGTACAGATTTCTAAAAGAGAAAAAAATCAATTATTGGAGGAGGATTCTTTTGTACCCACCCCACTAATGGTTTATGTATTTCTCTTTTTGTCTTGGTTATGATTATTCATATGTTACACTTGAAATGAACTGATGAAAGTGAGTAATAGGATGGTCGTCGAGTTCACGTGATCGAAAGAGATTTGACAGAGCCCGACAGAATCGTTGGCGAACTGTTACAGCCCGGGGGTTACCTCAAATTGATCGAGTTAGGACTTGCGGGTCAGTGGCCTGGGCTGATTTCTTTCCCAACTCCTTGATTTTAAGTCCAATTCTATTCATCAGTTGTTAAGGAAAATACATTTTTACACTGCAGACTGCGTTGAAGAGATTGATGCACAAAGAGTGTATGGCTATGCCCTTTTCAAGGATGGAAAGAACACTCGGCTCTCTTATCCATTGGAAAAATTTCACTCTGATGTATCTGGGAGAAGCTTTCACAATGGCCGCTTCATTCAGAGAATGAGGGAGAAGGCTGATTCCCTTCCCAAGTAATAATTCAAGCCATACATTATATTTCTCCAATACCCTTCTGCAAATATTAACTTTTGCGTTTAGATGGAGAGTCAAATGCACACGTTCATCACTGATTTGCCATCGATACTTTAGTTCTGTATTTCTTGTGATTGGTTGATGTATACTGATGGAAATTTTTGTATGCTCTGTTTCAATTTCTTGAAGTGTGAGACTGGAGCAAGGGACGGTTACTTCACTGCTTGAGGAGAAGGGAACGATCAAAGGTGTGCAGTATAAGTCTAAAGATGGTAAAGAAAAAACAGCATATGCACCACTGACCATTGTCTGTGATGGCTGCTTCTCAAACCTGCGCCGCTCCCTTTGCAACCCAATGGTAATGAGGCTTCAATTGTGCAGTGGCATCTCAAAATAGATATTGATTTTTCTTTTAGGATTAGAATGGCTGCTGACTATTCAAATTACTTGCCTGCATAACTGAGAAGCCTTAGATATGAGTATTTTGTGCCACAGTATGAAAACTGTTATCTGCTCTATCTTTTGCAGGTTGATGTTCCCTCTTGTTTTGTGGGATTGGTTCTGGAGAATTGCCAGCTTCCTTTTGCAAATCATGGGCATGTTGTTCTCGGAGACCCTTCTCCTATTTTGTTCTATCCCATTAGCAGCACCGAGATCCGTTGCCTGGTTGATGTTCCTGGGCAGAAGGTTCCTTCTATATCAAATGGTGAAATGGAGAAGTATTTGAAGACTGTAGTAGCGCCTCAGGTACAAGTTCTTCAACAGCAAATATATTGAGTCGGTCTCGGTCATTGTTTTACTCTTAATGTTACTTGAATCACTCTTGCAGGTTCCTCCTCAAATCTACGACGCCTTTATAGCTGCTATAGACAAGGGTAATATAAGGACAATGCCAAACAGAAGCATGCCTGCTGCTCCCCACCCGACGCCCGGTGCCTTACTAATGGGGGATGCATTCAACATGCGCCACCCTCTCACTGGTGGAGGAATGACCGTAGCATTGTCTGATATCGTCGTACTGAGGAACCTCCTCAAGCCTCTCAAAGACTTGCATGATGCACCAACTCTTTGCAAGTATCTCGAATCCTTTTACACCCTGCGAAAGGTACGTTTTAGTTTGTGTTTATGTTGGCATTCCTGAAATCCATTTTAATGAGAATCTGTAGAATAAAGCGAATTTACCGATGGTTCGTTTGTTCGTCTGAAACTGCAGCCAGTGGCTTCTACCATCAACACGTTGGCAGGGGCATTATACAAGGTGTTTTGTGCATCCCCAGATCAAGCTAGGAAGGAAATGAGACAAGCTTGCTTTGATTATCTGAGCCTTGGTGGGATGTTCTCAAATGGACCTGTCTCCTTGCTTTCAGGATTGAATCCTCGCCCCTTAAGCCTGGTTCTCCATTTCTTTGCCGTGGCAATATATGGAGTTGGCCGCTTACTGTTTCCATTTCCTTCACCGAAAGGAATCTGGATTGGAGCTAGATTGATCTATGTGAGTATGAACAAATAAAACAAAACACCTTCATATTTTCCTCTCAAATCTCAGAACTAACCTTGAACTTGATAGATGAAAGTGTGTTGGTAAAATGAGAAATTAATAGGTGGTGGTGTGTTGCATTGCAGAGTGCATCAGGGATCATATTTCCAATTATAAAGGCCGAAGGAGTTAGACAGATGTTCTTCCCTGCAACTGTTCCTGCTTATTACCGAAGTCCACCAGCTCTTAAACCAGTAGCATGATGAAGAAGAAGATGATGATGATGCAGAAGGATTCAAAATGGTGGGCATTGTTTGTATCATATCTTCTGAAGAGAAAGAGAGGTGATTTTTTTGTTCGTAGATTTTGGTTTTACTTTTAGTTGGGTTAATAAACTCTACCTATGGATCAAAGACTCACTCAGGGGTGTACATATTTGTAATTCATTCAAAAGAGAACCCCCCACAATCAATGTAATTTCGGACTGTATTTGGGAAAGCTTTAATTTAGAGTATCAAAACTTCTTCTAAGATAGAAGAATTATGAAATTTGGTGGTGGTTTTTTAACTAGTGCGGGGTGGGGAATGGTATTAAATTAAGTTTGAACTATGTTTAAATTGGCTTGTGGTGATATTTAAAAAAGGTAAAACATATGGCTTGCCAATTTTTTTCGGTACTTGGATTTTGCGAGCTGTTTCTCGTAGATGTCGAGAACTTTGCCCAGCTTCGCTTCGTTCTCCGCCACCACGGCCGGATCCGTCTCCCCGTACTCGAATATCAGCTCGGATACTCAGTACGACGGCGCCATCGCCGGAGGGTCGTAATGATGGCCGTCCACTTCRACGCGCGTTGATACGACCGACGCTTTCTTTGGGTCGTCGGAGATCAACTGGGTTCCCTTGCCGGCGAAGTTGCGGACCAGGTATTGAGTGATGACCCTCGAGGAATTTTATCAAACACCTTGAATGCAGTAGAGTAGTTTACCCAAAATAATTCTCCCGAGTAACTAATTTCAGAATTTTATCAAACATCTTGTGCGCAAACAACATTTTGATAGCGGAAATTTATCAACACCTTGAATACTAATTCAATACTAGTTCTTACAGAGGAATTAAACTCGGAATCTTATCAAATACCTTGTGCGCAAACAATATTTAGAGAGTGGAAATATAACGAATCGAGTGCAATAGAGTGGTAATTACCGAAAGTCGTTAGATCTCCATGTTGAAACCAAGGAACTTGACCAAACGGCTGAAAAAATTCAATCGAAACGCATTCAGAAAAAAGAAAATTGACAACATCATCAATGGCGCATAGGAAGGGATTTGGATCGGAGGAGTACGGGGGAAGAAGAAGATGAGAGAGAAAAATAAGAGAAAATGTAAAAAAAAAAAAATACCACCAAAACTAAAATTAATAAATGTTGAATTGATTATAATGTTGAATTGATTATACCTATAATCAAATAGTGGGATCCACTTCAAATTTTTCTATTACATAAAAAAACTTTGTAGTCTTTTTAAAACAAAGAAAAAAGTAGCAATAATTAATTATAGGTTTAAATTTCATTTTGGTGCTTGCTTTTTTAGCAATATCTCATTTGATTCTCAAACTTAAAAAATATATCATTTTAATTTTTGAACATTTTTTTAAGATAACAAATTTGATTTTGATAAATTATAGTGTTTTTTAATGATTATTGTTCTAGTTAAAAATGATTTTAGAATTTTAGAACTATCAAATTACTAAAAAGCATTCACTATCCTTGAGAGAAAAAAAGTTTGAAGATTGAGAAAAAATTTAGAGAAAAGTTATAGAGGAGAAATTTTCAAGAGAAAAGAGCAGTGGGGATAACATTTCAAGAGAGAAAAGAGAAGAAAAAAAAAAGGTTAAAGAGAGACAAATTTTGGAGAGCACACGAATTGAAGAGAGGAAAATAATTTAAAAGGGAGGCGATTACAAAAAATAACATAAAATAAATGTATTTTCAAAATATAGCAAAATTTTAAAATTTTACAAAAATAGAATAATTTAAATTAAATTCGAAAATACACCCAAAAAAATCAAATTTATCCTATGTGAGGGATAAATAAAGTTAAAAAGAGAGGGACAACTTTGGAGATGACAAAAATTGAGAGGGGATAAAAATTTCTAAAGAAAATTTAGGGAGAGCGAAAAAGATTTTAGAGAAAAATAAAATGTGAGATTTRGAAAATTTAGAAAGAATGCGACAAAAATTATAGATAGAAAATGTTAAAAAAGTTAACTAAAAGTTTTATGAGAAAAAAAAAAGTTAAAAGAGAGATTTTAAATAGGAAAGAAGTTGAGGGCAATAAATTTGAGATAAAAACATTCATAGATAGATAAGGTAAAAAACAATGTTATAGAGGAAAAACTTTGGCTTTTCCCCAAAAATCACTTCCCCCCTAAAATCAACTCATTTACTTTTTCCAAAATAGTTGATTTTAACTTTTCCCAAAAAATTACTTCCAATTCTAACCAAATATCATCATTTTATTTAGAAGGGAAGTGAATTTTGACAAGCCAACATCATTTTCTCAAACATCCCCAAATTAGTTTCAATTTTYAAATCAATCCTATTTTAGTATTGTTAACATCAACAGTATAAAAGAGTGAAACAAAATTGATATTGATTCAMTGAAGAAATAAAAGACCATTAATACACATGCACACTCATTAAGCAAAACTTTAAACAAAAATTCCTTTAATTTACTCAAAATCATAATCTTTATTGCTAAGATACAAATATGACAGCCATCAGGATAATATTAATATGTATAGACAACTCCTTGAATAATTTTTTAAGCCAAAAAGGGGGAAAAAAGAGCTTTGCCATGCCCGCGTGATATCACGCCCACATATCAAATCAAATATCAATACATAGACTCACTCTTATTTTGCTTTCCTAATAAACTATAAGAAACCCGACTTCTCTTAATAACACAGAATTAAGGGGGGAAATTTTTCTACAAAAATAACAGTAATATCTCATACTGTTAGAATGGTTCCCGGAGCTCTGATCAGGTCGACGACTAGAGGTACGGTTAGTGTTACGCTCTACTGTTCTTTCTTTCTGACTTTATGGCCTCATAAGATGTCATCACCTCTTTGAACTTGGCCTCAGCAGCCTCTGCAACACAACGATCACAAGGGACTAAGTGAAAATTGGAAGTAAAAGTAAAAAGGAAGCCAAAAAGAAGTAGACCATCTTCTACGGTTCTACCTTTATTTTCTTGGTTCTGATCTGGATGGAACTGTTTTGCCTTGGATTGAAATGCTGTCTGTGACCATGAATAGTCCAATTCAGAACCCGCAACTTTAATAGTAAATTACTTCATAGAAAGCTACAAACCGACAGCAAACGCTTSACTCTGGTAAAATAATGTAGGAGCTTAGATGAGTTAGGGAGCATACCTTAATCTCAGCATCTGTATAAGGCAGTTTTCGTGACCTGTAGCAGACATTAAGMCAAGATGTAAGGTAACCTCATAACTACCTCTCAACATAGAAAAAGGAGGAACAGTGCAGATCAAACCCAATTTGTAGGTTTAATCCTAAGTTCATCAGAATATATATAAAAAAATAAATAAATAAATAAATTGAACGGGGAAGAAAAAAATAAGCATAGTTTATATGTAAGTACTGTTATCTAGCATTAAATTCACCTGTCTAGACCCAAAACTGAGTAATGATGCGATAACGAGTAACTTGTTCTGTCTCTTGGAGCTTCTCTAGAATTATTTCTTTGCTCTCTGTAGAATGTCTCAGCCTTCCAATACCAATCATCTCGAGGGTGATGTTGATGATGCGCACCAGGACCATTCTCTCTCCAGCTTTCATAGCCTCTCTTGTATTTGTTTCTCTCTCTATTGAATACATTCTGCATTCGCCTTATCCGCTCCTAAATCAAACAATGAACAATAAGGTCCAATGACAAAAAACAAAAGGATGAGATAATAATCCACATTGACAAAAAATAAAATAAAATAAAGGCGTGGAAGAAGGTAAAATAAGTTGTGGTCGGACAAATAATTTGAAAGTTTCGAACCCACCCAAGGGCTGCCCTAGTGGTAATGGCTTGGGATGTTTGGAGATAGCTTCAACGTCCTAAGTTCTATGGTAATTACTCAATATCTTAAAAGACATGTTTTCTTCCAGAATGGATACAGGGGTGCACAAAACCTCGGGGATTAAAGAGGGTACATTAGCATAATGCAAGGAGTGTGTCGCCAATATCCAGGGACAGAGAGAACTTAGAAGTTAACTTGAGCTTAACCAACAAGGGTCCAATAATATTCTGGCCAAAAAAGCATCACTCGAGCTTTCTGTAAAACTTAAACCACATATTAACTAAGAAAGCCATATAAATTCCATTCGAACCACCTCCAAGGTCCCTAGAAGTTTAAAAAATGACTCATGAAAATTGAAGACACTATTCCTGCTATATGAAAAGAGTAGACAATAACAAATAGCTAAAGAATTCTTACCACCCTCTCCATTTCTTCWTCATACTCCTCTTGTAGCCGACGATTATACCTTTTCCATGCTTCCTCCTGAAATGAGGACCGGAAAGTTCGGCCAGTTTCTCTCCATGATGATTGTGACCTGCTCAACTTTTGTTTAACAATTATATTGTCAGCTACCAGATTTCAACAATATATCACCAAATTCTTTCTTCCATTTTATTTAATGCAAGTTTTCGTTTCTAAGTGATATGATCATAGATGCCAAATACACCTTATAAGCAGTAGAACTGAAAGCGTACACTTCTAGTAAAACGAGTTTAGCAAATATTAAATAGCATAATTAAATGCAGACACGCATATACCTGAGTATAAACCCARTCAACAGTTCTCCTCAGCTGACTAACCTGCCCAAAACAACCAGTGTCAAACTGGGTTATCCAAAAGCTAGTCGGATAAGCAATAACTGCAAGGAGAAAAACTACTAGGCAAATTTTTTATGTCACCACAAATTAGTGCATTAGAGCATTTATTAGTCCATTAACAAACATACTAAACTATAAAGATTCGGATAATTTCTTATCATTCATGATCAGTTGAATAGCATATACTGGTGCCAGCCTTCTGCTTCTTCAGAATAAAGAATTTAATTATAGATTGAAACTCGAATTGTCTAGCACTATTCCAATTCTTATCCAAAAAAATTTACTGAACACGTAGCCCAATGCATAAAATTCCAGAAGTAACGAAAAAAGGAAACGAAGATAATTGGAAATTAATCACCAGAAAGTTGGCTAAATAACGAAAAAAAAAATGCGTAAAACTCACTGCGAGAGTGGTGGCAGAGGCACCGATTAAACCGAAAACAAGAATTCCCCACAGTTTCATGTCCTCCGCCTTCTCTTGGCGCGGCGCTCTTGGCGATTGCCATTGATTCCCCTTATCCGGTTTGCCATTGTCGTCGCTCATTTCCTTTGGATGTTAAAAGTGGTGTTCAGCTGATGGTTATAACAGATGGTGGACGAAATCGAAACCCTAAAAGCATCGTTTAGGGTTTCTTTCTCCCCTTGTCTTCCAATTCCGCTCTCACCGCCTTCAAAATTCCAATACAGACCCTCCCCTMAATTCGCTCGTATTTGAATGCCTCTCTGAGATCTCTAACGGGGTTGATCGAAATCAAAGCAGAAGACGAAGATGAAACAAGTTCAGGAATCGAAGGTGCACTCGGAAAATCAACGCATTGAGTYCAAGTTTTATGAGGAATACAATAGGAATTGGGAAACTGGAAAGAGGGACATGGGAAAAATTAAAGGGTGGGGTATTATATATATACTTTTCTTTTTTCTTCCTTTTGTTAAAATTATTTTTTAATCTAGATAGTTTAAATTGTGTGTCTAATATATATAGTTTGTCTAACAAGAAGTTATCTTTTAATTAAAAAAAATTGGTATTTTTATATGATAAAAAGTTAAAATTTAATGAAAAAATAATATGATATTTTAATTGGTTGTTTAAAATCTATATAGTTAATTTRACCAGGTATTAAATCTCACTTCGGAATAATTAATATCCCAAATTTTTATTAAAAGCTTTTGATGATAATAGTTGAAAATAAGATTTTTAAACTTTTATGAATAAAATTATTAGACTAAYGATAGTAGAAAGTTTAAATTAACTTCTACCAAATATTATAAAAATAGCACTTAAAAGATTATTGCCATAAATATGATATAACTAGCTAATCTAAACATAGTTCAATTAGTTAAACTATTATATATTTATTATAAATATTGGAGGTTTAAATMTCTATTTTATTCGTATAAAAGGAATCTTCATTATGTATTATTGAAATAAAACAACAAAATTAAAATTACATACAACTAAATCATTAACTAATTTATTTCGTTAATATTATTGGATTAGCTAGAGCTGTAATTATAGTTAGTTTGCTTTGGAATCAATTATTTTCCTAAACTAAAATCACAGTATTTAATATTATTTAAATTAATGAACTATTTGTTACAATTAAATCAATAAGTTATTTACTAGCTTAAAAGGCACCTTTTTACAATTATTCTCTCTCTTTTTTTCTTTTCTAAAAAACACTACATCTGTTATTTGTAATTACTTTTAAAATAGATTTATAAATATTTTTAAAAACAACGAAGCTACGGCCCATATCAATGGCAGTCCAACCCAACCAGCCCATTAAAGTGGAGTACTGGCCCAAATAATTTTAAGAATGGGCCACATTTCATTTCACTACGTATGATATCTATAATCCCAGCCCAAGCCCATATTACTCAAATCCATATACATGTTTATCTTGTTTCAATTTTTTTTTCACTTCATCAAATAGGGACTAAGATTCAAACTTTCTGACTTTTTTTTTTTTTTTATTGAACACATATGTCTTAATTAGTTGAATTATTGGGYCATTGAACACGGTTAAATCTYTGGTAATGGTTGAAGCTATGGAATAAACATTCGAGAATATTTTTAAAATCAAATATATTAGTAAAACTAAAATTGGCCCATATGGTAGCACTTTAAAGTTTAACCGGACACAATATTCTTGAGCCTACCCTTGAAAARAAAAATTATCTATAGTATTAAGAGTAGTTAGTTTGTTGTTGATTTATTTTTGAGTAACATTCAGTTACTACCTTGTTGGTTACAGTAATTTTCTTCTTACCTATAAATGGGTGAAATTTCATTATTGTGTATTAATGAAGAGATTATTTTCACCTTCATCTTTTATCTCTCCTGCTTTATTAGTTTAATAGATAAGAAGGTTTGAAAATGAAACAATTATCTCAGTTTAGTACAAATCTTCATGATTAGCAACCATAAAAAATGTCACATTTGCTAATACTAAAATGTACCGATTTTATCTGTACATTCCAGATATATCTAATATCTTTTCCATTATCTACCATAAAAATGACAATAGGAACTTTATCTATAGATTTTTCTTAAGAAAAATAAGAAACTTTTTCCAAAATACTTTTTCAGTACACCACCAAGAGCAATATCCTCTAATAATATTACACATTTTTAAAATAAACAAACTTTTACCCTACAAGCTGCCTCAAATATCAATATTGAAAAAAAACAACCCATGCTAAATTCAATTACAAAAATTTTAAATTAAAGAGACTTATTTATTCTAACGAAGAAAAATAYATAATTTCTTTTCTTAAAAATATTCATTATCCTAAATAATAGGACGYCCTTCAAATATAGAGGCTTAACTTACCTACACATAATAGGTTTAACTTTATTTTTTTCTTTTCTAAGAATTCAACGGAGATCTACCCATCAATCTTTAAAATGATAAAAAGTACCTTGTCGATTGAGTTACATTAGAATTAGTAATACACACGTCTAACTATTTGGGACGGGTATTTAACATATGGTTACGAAGGAGAGTAGTTGTGTACATTTTGAAGAGCATTTTCATAGGCTTTTGTAGTGAGATACATTTAGACACCACATTCAATGGAGGGATCTGAAAAAAAAAAGACATCCCATGAGTTGATTGGTCAAAATCTACTTTGTGAGAATATTCACTTATCCTCACTACTTGGAGTGTTGGAGCTGTGTTCTCTTATGGATAAGAATTTCTATTTTTGTTCAATACCAACCTCCAACATTTAATAATTGTCTCCCCATTTATGTATATATCTATGCATGAAAAGTAATTATATTCATTCACAATTCCTCCACCTTTAGTGGAATGGTMTGGAAACTTAAAAATATTCTCATTTTTCATGATTATTTGCTTTTGTTTCCCCTAAATAATCTTGAAGTTTCTACCATTTTTTTTCCTTCTAATTTTCACACCTTAATTCAAATTCACATCCAATTTAAGTCTTGTTTGTAACCATTTTATATTTTTAGTTTTTAGCTTTCGAAAATTATGTTTGTCGCGGAGTCTCTTTGATATGTTTTAACTTTCTTAAAAGCACCATTGAACTTTTAGCCAAATTTTAAAAATAAAATCAAATTTTAGAAAAATTACTTTTTTAATTTTTAAATGTTACCTTAGATTTTAAAAATATTTCTAAAAAAGATATGAAAAAAGTATYTACCAACTTAATTTTTAAAAGAAATTAAAAGATAAAATAATTATCACACGATACGTTAGAAATTAAGAAATCCTAGGCAGTTTGAAGAAAACAAAAATACTTTTAAATGAGTTTTATCGAGGAATCAAACTTTTAAGAAATTAAAAGCCAAATCTTTTTCTTCCACGAAACATATAATAATGAAGATAATTGATGAGTTGTTTAAAATTGTTTAGTTGAAAATTAAAAGACGCATGAGAACCATTTGACATTTTGGTTGGTAGAATTATATATAGCATTGACATTTACATATGGTTTTTTTTACATCTTAAATATGGTATTTAATAGCTTTGAAAAAATTCTCTTTTTTTTTTTAATATATACATGGTAATTTCGGTCTTTCAATTTTGACTTTTATATTTATTCAATTATTAAATCTTCGAACCTACCACTAAATTTCTAAATTATACGAAGTAAATTTCATTTAATCTTTATCCTTAATTTTTGGTTAACTACCTAATAAAAAAGTCTATTGACATAAATTTTTATTAGATTGATAATATTAAAAAATGTGGCGTCACGTTAAAAAAACTTATCGTATATCCTACTTTTTATCAAGGTGGCGTGACAAAAATTTCTTGGTCTTTTTTTTTTTTTTTGTTTCCATTTTGATGTACCTTTGTGTAGCTTACAATGTACACCTTCATTGTCTAACCTCAAACCGATCTTGATCTTGACTGATTGTATATATCTTCATATATAAACATGACATATAATTGCCCAACAATTTGGTATGCACTTATTATGTATATGCTGCTCCACTGTTCACTAACAACAAAACTAATCACCAATTTGATYCATGTGCGATTGGACTATAATTAGGATTTTGACGCTTATAATTTTAATATTTAGACTTAGTAAATTAATTTGGCTTTTGTGATTTGGTAAATCTAACCAATCGTCTCTAAAATATTTTTATTTCTACTTGAACAACTCASGTATTTTCTTATATTTTCACTAAGTCCTAAACTTTGAGACAGTCAACTAACACAATTAACAAAATAGATCAAACTAAAACATCTCAACTCATTGATTTGTAAAATAGATGTGTCAATTTGGTAACAATAGAGACGATGTCAGAGAGATTTGACTAAATTATAGGGACCAAATTGAAATTATGCATAAACTATAGAGACCAAATTTAAATTTATATAATTTAAGGGGCAGAAAAGTAACATTTTAGCAAGTTTGATATATAGTTCAAGTTCATCGGTGGAGTCGCAACATTTATTATACGAAATTATTGGGTAAGTTAAATAATGATGCAAGTTAAAGTACCGTCACCAATGAACAATGAGTCCTAGGAAATTAAACCCAAGTTTTGAACTACGTACAGACATTTACATGAAAAAATATAAATAAATATGTATTTTCCAACCTAGTAGAAAGTTTAAAATTAAAAAAGAATCTAAATTTAATATAAAATAAAAGTTATGTTTATGCTATATATTTAAAAGAAATAAAAAGTTTGTAACATTTTTTTAAATACATATATTAAAGTTATTATTCTATATAGTAAAATTTCTCTTAAAATTATTTTCTCAAAGGTAAAGAGTTTGAAAGGTTGTTTTTTTCTTTTGAAAATTAGACCAAAAAGAAAAAAAAAAGTTCTTCAAACGTCAAAAATAAGAAAAAATGATAACCGAATTAGTCATCAAGAATTAATTTAAAACACGTGAGAAAGAGAATAATAGCATGAATTACAATAATTAAGAAACATTAAAATTGACAAATACTACTCACTGTTTATGTAAGTAGTTACACGTGTGGTCATTGATATATCTCGATCCGGTCTTAATCTATACAACACAATCATGATAAACGAAGAAAGATTGGACCAAAGTAAGGAAATTAAACATTTCCACATTAATTAATTAATTAATAAGAAAGATATAGAGTGGAGGAGGGTGACATGATAGAAGARGAAATAGATGAAAGTGAAGTGATATTCAAGAGAGGAAGAAGTTGACAATGAAAGGAAATCCGACAAGGAAAATAGATAAGTTGACAAAAATGAAAAACCAACAAAAAACACAACACACACAAACATATAATATTGGATATTCATCCTCATCCCTATGACAAACTGTCGTTTTCAAGAGCTTAGGGCCAATTAAAACACCCAAAAATTGTAGGGTCACAGAATGAAAAAGCTT